TGTGGCCCCACATTATATGCCCTTCGTGGCCCCCGCTCGCAGTCGCCCGTCGTGGCCCGATACGCATGCCCTTCGTGGCCCCTTCGCTGCCTTTCTGGGCCCATATACGAATGCCCTTCGTGGCACCCGCTCGTTCGCGCCCGTCGTGGCCCCATATGCATGCCCTTCGTGGCCCCGCTGTTGCCCTTGGTGGCCCCCTCTCTGCCCTTCGTGGCCCCGTTTCTGCCCTCAGCGGCCCCCGTCCGTCGCTGCCATCTGTGGCCCTGGATTAATTGGCTGGTAAATTCGTGGCCCCTTCGCTGCCCTTCGTGGCCCACTTTCTGCGTTCAGTGGCCCCGCTGCCGCCCTTTCTGGCCCCATACGTATGCCTTCGTGGCCCCCGTTCGTTCGCGCCCGTCGTGGCCCCATATGCATGCCCTTCGTGGCCCCGCTGTCGCTCTTCGTGGCCCCCTCTCTGCCCTTCGTGGCCCCGTTTCTGTCCTCAGCGACTCCGTCGCTGCATTCTGCGGCCCCCCATACGTATGTCCTTCGGGGCCCCCGCTCGTTCGCGCCCGTCGTGGCCCGCGACAAAAACGGTTCCCGCATGATACCTCATGACAATGTGTTGAAGAATCGCGCTCTCGCTTGGGACGTCCTTGCAATTTACCACCGAATCGCGGCTCCTCACAGTTTATTGGAGAATCGCGCTCTCGCTTTGGACTTCCTCGCAACCATACGCCTGCCATTCCAGCCCCGCTGTCGCCCTTCATGGCCCTCTCGCTGCCCTTCGTGGCCCCTTTGCTGCCCTCAGTGGCCCCGCTGTCGCCCTTTGTGGCCCCATCAACGAATGCCCTACGTGGCCCCCGCTCGCTCGCTCCCGTCGTGGCCCCGTATGCATGCCCTTCGTGGCCTCGCTGTCGCCCTTTGTGGCCGTCTCTTTGCCCTTCGTGGCCCCGGTGCTGCCCTCAGCGGCCCCGTTGCTGCCCTCTGTGGCCCCGGATTAAATGCCCTTCGTGGCCCCCGCTCGCTCGCGCCTTTCGTGGCCCCATATGCATGCCCTTCGTGGCCCCCTCGCTGCCCATTGTGGCCCACTTTCTGCGCTCAGTGGCCCCGCTGTCGCCCTTTCTGGCCCCATATATGTATGCCCTTAGTGGCACCCGCTGGTTCGCGCCCGTCGTGGTCCCATATGCATGCCTTTCGTGGCCCCGCTGTCGCTCTTCGTAGGGAATGAATATACCCCCCATAGGGGGTACGATCGAGGACGAAGAGGGCGGGTATCCAGGGCTTGGGATATGCGCATCGAATGACACGCGAGCAGATAAGAGCGAACAGTCTTAACAGGATTGTTGGTGTTGATGTTGTTGAATTCTTATTCCTGAAACATAATTATTACGGATCCCCCCCTCACAGGTGCATGCTGTTTTTTCTCCATCAAAGTGTGACCGTCGACGCTCGCTCCCTGTTTATTGACAGGGAAAGTCTTGGTGCTCAAACTGTGCCCCTGGGCCCCCCGGATTACTACAAGAACAACAACGGCTCCCGCCTGAGACATCTTCCAAATTTACTCAAGAACCCCGCTTCTGAGACTTCCTTACAATTTTCTCAGGATCGGTGCTCCAGCCTGTGACTTCTCGCAATTGAGTCAGGACCCCAACTCCCATCTGAGACTTTTCAATTGATTCAGGAACTGCGCTCACGCTTGACACACCCTCGCAATTGAATCAAGATTTCCTCGCAATTCAATCAAGACCCCCTCTCCCGCCAGAGAACCCTTCACATGTTGTTCAGGCATTGCGCTCTCGCCTGTGACTCCCATGCAATGTATTCAGAAATCGCGCTTTCGACGCTCAGGAAACACGCTGCGCCAAGGACGCCCTTACAATTCACCTAGTATTCGCGCTCTCGCCTTACTCAGGCATCCCGCTTGAATGTCCCACCCGCCCGACCCGCCCGTCACGGGATCGCCCGCCCGTCGTGGGCTCCCGCCCGAGTTTTATTTCAGGCACGGCGCTTTCGCATAGGATTTCCTCGAACGTTCGCGCTCTTACCGTGCTGCTCCTCGTCCCTCTCCCTCCTCCCTCCTCCTCCCTCCTCTCCTCCCTTCTCTGTCCCTCCTCTCTTCCCTCATCCTTATGCCTCTCTGCCCTATCCCCTCTCCCTCCTCTCCCTCCTCCCTTCTCCTCCCCTCTCCTGCCTCCCTCCCTCCCTCGTTTTTTTTTTTGTTTCTCTCTCTCTCTCTCTCTATTTCCCCTCTCTCTCTCTCTCTTTCTCTACCTCTCTTATATGTCTCTCTCTCTCTTTCTCTCTCTCTCTCTCTCTCTCTCGCTGCCTCTAACCAACCGCCGCCCCCCTCTTCGCTCCTTCTCTCCTGGCGCTTTCCCTCTTCCTTCGTCCGTCCCCCTCCCTTCCTCCCACTCTCCCTCGCTCTCCCCCTCCTCTTTTTGCAGGGCCCACACCAATTCCATTGGCGGGCACATATACGCCAACGAAGGATTGTCCGCCTGTTCAGGTTTGCCTTCCTGTCTAGGCCCGCCGCCCCCCGCATAGAGAAACAATCCCCCCAAAGGGGGTGTGATCGAACACGAAAAGGGCGGGTATCGAAGGTTTGGGAACTCGTTTTGAATGACACGCGGGCAAGTGAGAGTGAGCAGTCTTAGAACGATTATTGTTGTTGTTATTGTTATTGTTTTTCTTGTTGTTTGTGTTTGTTGTCGCCGCCCCGTCCGCGACCCACCCGCGACCCGCCCCGTGACCCGGGGGCGACCCACCCTGCGACCCACCCCGCGACCCACCCCGCGACCCACCCCGCGACCCATCCCGCGACCCGCCCCGTGACCCGCCGCGCGACCCACCCCGCGACCCACCCCGCGACCCACCCCGCGACCCACCCGCGACCCACCTCGCGACACACCCGCGACCCCCCCGCGACCCCCCCGCGACCCACCTCGCGACAGCTTTAAGTCGGGCCTGTCCCTCTACGGGGGGGTATTCAAAAATAGTCAAACAATATACTGGGGACTATTGTTGAGGTTTTTGTTTTGTGTATCTTTTGATTTTTGTTGACTATGTTTACTTTTCGTCCAAAATCCCCCTGTGGGGGGACAGGCCCGACCTGAGCACAGCTGCAGTGAACAAACACCACGCTTAGCTTTTTGCCCTAGCCGAGACGCCGTCGTCGAGTGGTCCGTGGGTTGCATGCCTCCCAGGACCTCTCCAGACCGTCCTCGCCCCGCTCGCGCAATTCGAAGCCGACGCTAGATCATAGGGCTTGCGGCGCAAGCAAGCCCTTGGCATCGCTCGGACGTGTGCATGTTTCCTTCGGCGAGGACCATCGAGGAGCATCCTTGATCATTTTTTTTATTTTTTTTTAATTTTTTAAACAAAAAAAAAAAAACGCACGAACCCGAAAAAAACACAGGGACCGGACGTCCGAGCGATGGCCAGAGCCTGCAGTGCGAGACCACGCAGGGCAACCAACAGGCAGCCCTCTGGCCGGGCCGCCGGGGGCGCCCGTTGGGCTCCGCGCCTCCCCGGACCTCTCCGGGCCGCTCTCGTCTCCATCGCGGCACCTCCCGCGGAAGGGAGAGCTCGGGGGCGGAAAAGAGGGGGGTGGTGACTAGGGGGGGGTGGATCTCATGGCGTGGGCCATGATATTTCCCCAGATTTCATGGCGCCTCTTCTTATTTCTTTACGTCCCTGGCCCCCCCGCTGGGCCGCGCACGTGCCGCCGGTCATGATTTGCACCCCCCCCTCTTGGACACCCCCCTTTTGGCCGCTCCCGAGAAGCTAGGACAGCAGAGCTCCATGCGGGCAGCATTTGCATCCACATCCACATCCATCTAGGACTTTTGGGGAAGGGGTGCCGCAAGGCCGAGGCGCACTGGATGTGCAGAACAATCTAGCCTGAGGGGGCCAGATGTCCATCCATATCCAGTGCGCCTCCGGCTTCTGGGGAAGAGAGCCCAAGACTCCAAGACGCACTGGATGTAGATATATCTATTGCCCGCACTGCACAGCAGCACGAAGCGATTGTCGTGGCGCCAACGTCGCAGGGCGGATTTTGTGTCCGGAAACAGATAGGGTGTGCCCAGAGTGGCCTGGAGGATTTCGTCGTTCCGGACTTCGAGGTGGATTTCGCGCGGATTTCTGTTGGCCAGGAATGAAGGCGAAAATCACTTCGTTTTTCGCTCGCCGCTACGGGACAAAATCCACGCAGAAATCCGCTGCAGCACGTCTGCAAGGCCTGTGCAATGACAACTACCACGCAAGTTGAAACACTTGCAATGCGGCAAGCATGGTTTTCAGGTCGGGTGGCCGAGGGCGCAAAGCGTGTCATACCTCTTTGGATCTCTCGAAGCCGCTCTCGCCTCGCTCGTGAAATCTTGACTTGAAGCTAGAGCAGCAACGATGCACGACAGAAACACATGCAAAGCAGCACAATTGCAACGTCATGATTAGTTTTCTTGTCGGGTCGTCGATGGCGCCGTGTGCTTCATAAACCATCGGACCTCTCCAAACCGTTCTCGTCTCACTCGTGGAATTCTTAGCTGAAGCTGGATCAGAAAGGCTGCACCGAAAACAACAATTGCATGAAAAAGCCATTGCAATGCAACACTAGACTGTTTTGTTGTCGCCGTCGTCGAGGGCTCTTCAAAGTCGTTGCCGCCCCACTTGCAGAATTTCAAGCTGGAGTAAAAACATCAATGTTGCACCGCACACAAACACATTGCAACGCAACACCAGCAGTAATGCAACAACATTTGTTTGTCGAGGGTGCCGGGAGCTGTATAACTCTCTGAACCTTTCCAAACCGCACTCGACTCAGTTGCGGAGTCCTGAGCTGAGGAATGGCAAAGTTGCAGCCACAGAGAAACGCGGATGCTTGCGATGTGAGGACTTGGCGTCCTGCCGTGCGCTGCGCGGTTAACAACTTGATTCGCCCCGAGAGGCGCCCAGATATTTGGTCCCCGGATCTCCCTCTCCCCCTGCCCTCACCCCCAGAGCCCTTTTCGCCCCTCCAGGAGAAGGTACTGCGGCTGCACCAGACCTACGAGAGAAAGAGCGAGCCGAAAGGCTCGGGGGACGAGGCCGAACCCGCCAACAGCGTGCCCAAGGCGCCCAAGGTCAGCGCCGTGGTCGTCGTCGTCAGCGTCAGCGTCGTCGTCGTCGTCGTCGTGGTCGTCGTCTCTTGATACCTCACACTTGCGGCAGATATGTTGCCTTGGGCGGCGATTGGGCTTCCGACTAGCCCAACGGCCCGATCGACCGACTGGCATCCTGCAAGTCTTCAGGACGCGGACCGTTATGCTTCTCGAGCTGGCGCCGTCGTGCCCTCCACCACTGTCAACTTTGGTCGGGTGGTTGGGGTGTACAGTCGGCCCGGATCAGTAGGTCGACCCTGCCAAATCGAGGGTACCCTCGTGTCCTGTGTCTTGCGACCCATGCCTCCTGCAGCTCTGTGGCAAGGTGGCCCTCGGAAGGGTCTTGTGTCCTCTCGCGTGTCCTCTCCAATCAAGTCCGACTGTACCTCGGCGGCGCCACAAGGGGGCGGGGGGGGGGCTTCCCTGGAGGCGACGCGAGGAGGAGCGGCTGGAGGACGGGAGAGCGAAGAGAAGAGGAGGAGAGGCCAGGGGGAGGCAGCAGGCACGACGGACGAGGAGGGCGAGGAGCGGGGGACGGAAGAGCGGGAGCGGGGAGGAACGGGAGAGGGGAGGGAGAGGAACGGGGGGAGGAACGGGAGAGGAATGGGATGAGGGGGAGGAACGGGGGAGGGAAGAACGGAAGAGGAACAGGAGA